GCCATGCAGTTGTCAGTCGAGTTTGTGAACAACCTGGTGGCGGTACTCAATGTCCTTGCATCCCAAGTTGCGACAGCGCTGGACACTCTGAACTTTGCCCTGATGTCTGAACGAAGCCACCCGTCAGATGCTAGAGTGTCTGCCAGGGCACCACGGAACTCCAGGCACGGCCTGCGCCCTCGCATCATCACAGAGCGCCTTTCGTCTGACCGATCCCGCTCTCCTACTCGACTTCGAGCCCGCCCTCTGGACACTTCCTCAACCTGGTATATACCGGCCTTATCCCCGCCCCGTGCGGCACATCGAGATGCCGCCGACAACAATTCTGGTCGTCGGCCTGAATCGATGTTGGATCACTTGCCATCACCACGGCCACTTGCCCCCTCAGCCCCACACGGCGGACGAGTCCGTGCGTCCCCATCCAGATGCCTCGTCGTTCAGACCGTCTCCTACGGTGGTTCATGGACCTCGTGAACTTCTACAAGAATTCACCATCGCACTTCGCAATGCACACCGTGAACCTTTCACGGCATGGACACAGGGTGAGCTGGATGAGATGGTGCGACGGAAGAAAGACAAGGATTCCAGGCCCACATACAAAACCATCGCTCGGTTCCTTCTGAAGCCCATTGAGGAAGTCAAGCAGGCATGGAAGGTCTATCAGCAACTTGAGGCCCGCGGGTAGGAACCCGGTCATCAAATGCAGCAGCGACCACGGGAGGACTAAATGGTCGGCCGAGGCGGTGTATTTGGCTAGTGTTGCAGGTTGCTTTCACTTGAGTGCCATTGTATCAGGGTAATTTTGCATGCTGTTGTGGGTGTTGCCGCTTACGTGAATTGCATTCATGACTGAGTTGCTCAAAACATGTCGGAACAAGTCGTACAGACGTACATTACTTGGACCCATGGAGCGCAGCCGACGTGGTTACAGTTTCACGGACCTGGAGCCCTGCTGGACAGACCCATTCGGCAGACTACGTCGCCTCCGCCCCCGCCAAGTTTCCCACTGCTTCTGCCACCCCCGCCTCCTCCACCACCACCACCACCGGTGATTCTACACCCGCAGTTTATGCCCTCAGTACGGAGCCCCTCGATCTCAGCTCCTCGTGGACAATCATGCCCTGCTACATCGAAATCGCAGCGCACACGCCGCTCGGTCCACAGCACTGACCATTCCCGTGATGAAGAGCTACACAGTCCAGGGCGTTCATTCAAACGATCTCGGACAGCATCCGCTTCAGCACCGAGGCGATCTCGGCGGCCGTTTACCGTGTTTCCCTCCAAACGAGCTGGCCGTCAATCGCTGTCCCCATCGGCAAATTGCAAGCATTACTGTCATGCCTTCCTGCACAATGGGCGGAAATGTCTTTCCCCTTGTGTTCGTAGACGACCAGGACATTATCATTGCAGGTGTGCACGGCATCAATGGCGATGAAGCTTAGGGGCCGTATATTACAAACCTCGCTGCTGTGTCTCACCTTGAGTTTGAAAAGTTGCCTTGCATTCCGTCAGCTGAGCACGGTTGTCATGGCATGTGTGTTTTAACCGCTGATTTTCGCTTGCTTGAAGCGGCCGCGCGATAGCTTGTCTTGCCGCTATGAACCCTCACTATTTCGAGTACCAGATCGACAGAGGAGTGGAATGGATTAGAATCTACTCACCGGGCACGTGGCGACCCGTTCCTGATGATGCTCCAGTGCTCGCACCGACCTACGCTTCTACGTATCGGGAGTGGCGCAAGTCATATCGCTTCCAAGTGTACTGGTCCGAAGACAGCACCGGAGGAACAACAACGGATCCCATTGTCACGCCTAGTTCGTATGTGTCCTACCACGTGTGGGAGTACCGAGACTGGCAAACACGAGGGTATCAACGACTTGGAGCTCCTGTACCAGCCATTGGTCTCGCGATGCTCGTGAATGCAGACGACAATTCCTCGGCGGACTCATCGGTTCCGGATGGGGCATGGCGTGAACCGTCACCACCACCATTCTATGATCCTTGGAACGAGTCGGGGTGATACTGGAGCAACATGTCGGATAAATTGACACGGTAGTGCTTGCTTTGCATGCGATTCCATGTTGGGTTGTCTTGCTTGTTGTTGTGTGTCCCGCCTTCAGCTGTTTGCCGCTCTCATTTGACCCTGAGCGGTTTGCCTGGTTGATATGTTCAATTGTACAATGTATGGCGCAGCACGTTGGGTCCTACCTCGCTACTTTGACTACGACATCGTCAAGTGCCCCGCGAATACGAGAGTGGAATGGATTCGGATCTATGTTCCCGGTCCGTGGCATCCAGTCGCCGAGAACACCTTGGGACCAGCCCCGGATGACACAACCACCTATCGGGAATGGCGTAAGGTTTTCCACTTCGAGGTGTATTGGCCGAGGGATAGCACAGGCGGCACCAATACAGGTGCTGTTTCGCAGCCGGTGTCTTATGCATCCTTCTATACTTGGTATTATAGAGACTGGGTCACCAGGGGATACCAACGGCTGGGTCGCCCACATCCTAGCATTGCGCGGCCAGTTTTCGCTTCGGGCGCACCGGACCTCATGTACGCTGGTTTGACCTCTTCATCGGCATCCTCCAACTCGGATGGTGGCTGATGCTCGTTTTCGCAATCCTGGGGAGTCTGTTCAGTTCAATTAAATGCGGGAGATTGACTTCGATTTCGGAGCCGTGCATTGCTGCAAAAGTGATTTCTTGCACTGCGGCAGTTGTGTTTCTTTCAGCAATTGTTGTCTGAAGCCGTACGCATATCAAGTTGTCTTTCCGGGTTTGCGGTGTCATGGCATGGCTAGAATGGTGTCCGGATCCTCAACAACCAAATGCCCAGTGGGTCAAGATCTTTCATCCGGGATCATGGACTCCACATGAAGAACATGATGCTCCACCTCCTCCGCACACGTATCGAGAGTGGAAGGAGTTCTATGATCACAGCCCGCACCAAGACGGTGGACAGCTCAATGTCACCAAGTGGTACAAAAGAGACTGGGCCACAGAGGGCTATCGGAGAGTCGCCGCCCCTCAAGCAGGTCATGACTTTGATTCTATGTCTTTTCCTGATCAACACAGCGTGGCCACGCAATCCACACCATTGAGTATGTCACCGCAGTTGTTGGACGCGATCCTTAGATCCTCGGATGCGGCGGATTTCTCTACCGAAGAGCTCACTCGCCTCCAAGAAGGGATTTCTCAGCAGCTGACGACTCGTGCGCATCACGCTTCCCAACTTCATCAACCTGTACGTGCATCACGGGGAGTTGCACCACCAGAGACGGTGGGGATCTCTGAACCATACCGGCCTGTTAACTCCTCCGACAGCTGCAAAGCCAAGGCGAAACCTATCTTCGAGCTAAATGAGGACTAGATGCACGCGAGTGGGGTAGCGGACAAAATAAGGGTGGTTTTGACGCTTGCGTGACCTTGCTTGGTTGTTGCTTGTACATGGTTGTGCATCGTGCATGTTCCTTTATCAGCTGGATCGGAGCCCGCGATACGCTTTGCCTCTCACTTCGACATGACATCGAGGATTCGAAGCAGCGCCCATGGCTCGAATACTCGGTCTGGCAGGATCAGGAGTGGGTGCGGATCTACACTCCAGGACAGACTCAGCTATGGCAACCCGGTGAGACCGTACCTGATCTACCAGACAACTCTTTTCGGGAGTGGAAGCGGGAAACTGATCCCAGTGGTGGGTTTGGTGAACACGGTCAGGCCTGGACGATTCGCGACTGGCAGCATCAAGGATACCAACGCATTCTGTCTCGAAGGGAGTCCTTCACTACACATCATGCCCGAGATCCAGCACTTGGAAATGTGCGGAATTCCGATGCAATTCCAGTTGAGGAGACGTTCACCTATGCCACTCCGCTTTCTCATGGTGATCGCTCGACTGCTGCACAACTCACTTCAGACCTCTATGGCGACACTCGTAATGCTCAACGTGGTGACTTTTCGTTCCCGTCTTCTGAGCGGTTAAGGGCTGTTTCTCGTTCCCCTCGCCGCGGTGGAATTTTTGGTCAACGATAGGGACACGGAGTTGAGCATGTGATCTTCCTTCGGAAAAAGTGACTCCTCGCCCCTCATTGAGGGGCGTGTGTGTGCGGAGTGACAGAATGCCCTGTCACCACCATTTCGGTTTATCAGCAGGGGGACCAGGCGTCTTGCTGCTGACCTGGTCTAACAAAGCTAGGCAGCAAGACGGGATACCGGAGTTGGCCACTCCGGCGTACCTGCGACCGTTCCCACACCTGTTGTGCAATGTCCATTTGGCCCGTTGTTTTCTCGCTGTGTGTGCTTCATGTTGAATCTCGTAACGGTTTCGACACTAAAGGGAAACCGAGTGCATTGCGAGCAGAGCCTACACCTACTCGAGACTCACCAGTTGTACTCGAGACTCATCAGTTGTACTCGAAAGATTAGCACTCTCCATTTGGAGTTCAAGTGTGTCTGTGTCGGTTTTGTTGAGGTGTGGTCCCCGTTTCACCATGTTCGAAAGGGAAACCAAAAGGAAACCCACAACCCACTTGACTTGACACGTCCCATGTAGTAGCATGGAATGTACCCCCTGAATGTCGTTAGCTAGCTGAGTGGCATCCTGGCATTTTCGGTTGGAATATCATGTCCCCCATGCGAATCAACATAGTTGTTCCACCATTTTGACCTTCCTGAAAAGAAACCAAGAACTCTGGAAATCCCACCAAGGGTGGGTGGGGGTGTTTGGCCCTCTTCGAGATTCCTGGCAGCGCTCCCGCATTAGAAAGCCTTCCAGCTTAGTTCCCTTTCCCCCCTGTACCACCAAAAACCCCAAAAAGGTTGGCCTTTTTTGGGGGGGCCAAGACACCTCAAAACCCCCAAAAAAAAAAACAATCCTAGTGTCCCCCTTCCCCTGCAATTGAACTTCGGCCCCGAGAAAAGCCCGAGAAAATTTTGTCCCCCGGCTCGCCCCGAAGTTCCATCGATCCCATCGACGGCGACGCGAGTCTCGGCTCGAGGGCCTGGAGCTTACGGCCAGCCACTGCCACGTGTGGCTCCGCGCCGCCGGCATCGGCGCCACGGTGCCGCAGCCGGGCTCCCTCTGCCGCTCGTGGCACGAGGGTTTTTTGGCTTTCACGGCGGTGTTTTTTTGACACGGCGCTCGAAAAAGACGCGCAAAGGTCAAATTGGAGACGCCCCGGTTTTTTTTTTTTGGGCCCAGATTTGGGCCAAGTGTTGAGAGATGTTGAGAGTGAGTCCAGTTGGTGTTAACCAAAGAAATGAAAGGCCGACAGGACCCCTTTTGAGGGATTCCCATTCGAACACGCTTGATTTTGGTCCACCCCTAGGGGATCTCTGTTGACTTTAATCGAAGTGATTGTGTGTCTTATCAACACATGTATGGTTAGTAACCAGTTATGAACCTACATTGGCGTTTGGACTCTAAAATATTTGCGCAGTTTACAGGCAGCATGTTCAACATCCTGAAAGAGGGAACATGTTGAGAGGGGCAGGTTCAACTCGGATATTCATGGTGGGTGGCGATGCAGCGTAGCACCTGAAGGATTCCTGGCCCCCCTTTAGTCTTTGGGTCGACTCACCGCCTTCCTGTTACGCGGATCACTGTGCTGGGAAAAGCTTGAGCTATGCCATAGTCCTTAAAATTATCATGGATTGTTGCATCGAAATTGCCCGGAAGAAGGATCCCTAGAAGGCAGGGCGAGAAGTACCGCTGGAATCTTCGGGGCTTCAACTGCTCAGGTTTGCCAACATTTTAGCCGCGACATGTTCGTCGATTTTCGGGTTTTGTTTCATTGCTGCCCATTTGGGGGAAACAGTCCCTTGAACACTGGCACATGCTCAGGTTTGACCGGTTGGTACGGGACGCAGCATTGGCTTCAATTGTTGGTTTAGGCCTAGGTCTTACACACAACCTGGATCTCCAGGTTGTTCAGTTGAACTGTGGTTTATATTGGGCGGAAAACACCCTATTCCACAATTTGGGCTGTACGTCGAACCACGTTTTCCCCAAAATTAGGGGGTGTGGTTCTTCCGCCACACCCAAGAGAAAAAGGCGGCACAAGAAGGGCGGTCCCTTTAAAGCTGAACCGGCCATATCTTGGTCACCGGTTCCGACGCTTGGGATTGGTGATTGTCATTCCGAGGCATGCACTTCGGAAGCCCGAACCCCTTTCGGGAGGCGCACGGAAGCGGCGGATCTGGGAGCTCGGGGTGGTCTGGTTTTGTATTGTTGAGGGGTACTTGGGTTTGGGGAAGCCAAGAGAACAATTAACCACCCAAGAATTGTGAGATATTTTTTTGCCAGTCGCCAACCCGGGAAAGGAGACAGAAGTTGAGAGTCTGTCTCTTGGGTACCTTTTCAGGTTTGTTGAGGGAGGCCAAAAAGGGACGCCGAGGCCGTTTCGGGATCCCGATCCTTGTGGCATACGCATGGGGTCAGGAATTAAGCCATTCTCATAACCGGTTTTCGGGTAGAAGGGCGGTAGGGACGGTCCAAACCATATTCAGGTTCGGATTTCTGCCGTTTTGAATCGTTCCGAGTTTCAAGCCACTTGGCATTGTGTCATGGGAACTTCCGACTTGATTGTGACCGTACTAATCAGGGTCCCCCGCATAAAGTAGGTAAATGATCTACAGGGCATTCCTGTGGCGTGAATTGATCGCGCATTCTGGGGGTGTTGTGAGGGAAAAAAACAAGGAAGCAAGCTATTTGCAGGGCCCCTGTGGCACAAACCCTGCAGGAATACCCTTTGGCCCCTAATTTTCACAGACACACCACACACCTCCACTATACACACACTTCTCCACTGTACCCATAAACCCAAGTGCAGCTGTCAGCCATCCTTCGGCGCCCTCCCCAAAACAAGCAAAACGCCGCCTGTGCGAATCAATGGCTCAAGCCGGTTTTTTTCCGCACGGCCGCCGCAGTTCGGCGGATCCCGCGATTTTTTCGGCGATCCGTTTCCCACGGCATATGCCCTTGGTGCTGGAGGTGACTTGCGGGCGACACTTCTTTGTGGAGCGGCCCAACTGCTATGCCACCCGTTGCAGAGTCGGCTCACCACCCGCCCCCTCGTTTTCGGTCGGTCCTACGTCGAATGTCGTCTTTTCTTCAGAAGCCGAAGCCGAAGTGATCGAAAAGCAAGGAGCGCAGCGACTGCGACTCAACACTCCAAAAGTCCGCAGAGGGTTCACCAAGCAAAAGTTTTCGGAATTCGCATGGCACCACAGCGAGGGCGCACTGACACCAACTTCGTCCAAGCACTTTGCGCGAGCCTGCGCAGCCGAAGTGCATTTCAAGATTTTGCAAGTCACGATTGTGCGTAAATACCATAAAAATGCACAGACCAAATCAGGCGCCCCAACCTAACCTACTCTTCCCGTAAGAACTCCCTAAGTGTAGACACACGGCAAAGAAAGGTTAACCCACCAGTTTGGGGGTCCCCCGACTTTGACACCTCTAGGCGGATGCGTTCCCTCCAGTGGACGGCGGCCTGCACCGCGCGTGTCGGGGAGAGCTCAGCGACGCGGAGACGCAGAACTTCATCTTTCATGTCAGCAGCGACTTGGGGTAGGTTCATTCCGAGCACCTGGGTCATTCCCCACATCCATAAAATGGCGCAACGGTTTTCCGTGTGGTGTCGCTGTAAAGCCACAATGAATGGGCACCCTAGAAAGTCACACCCATATTCCCACCTCCAGCGGGTTGTGAGCCCTCTGTTCAAGCTCTTTTTTGGGGAAGGACGTACTGCATGCATGGGTTCAAGACTTGTCGACATTTCGAAGGCATTTGTGAAGCGATTGGCCAGTCGTCACATGTTGACTGGTTCAATCATCACATTAGCAATCCCATCATCAAGCTCGCATTGTGTGCCATCAGGGTTCAGCCTCACATTGCTTCAACCAAAAAAGGTGCGTTTTGATCCCCATGGCCGCCTCGGGTCTTGTAATGTTGTTCTCAAAATAGGGATACCCCATGGTCGGTTTCCTTCAGGTGTCCCTGTACTTACCAACCACAAGGGTTCACCATTTTTGTGTCAATGGTGGGTGTCTCTTTTGTTGAATTATTTTTTATACGGGGCCTGCAAGAAACCAAACCCTTTTTCGGTGGTCCTTGCTTGAAATCCCGCCCATATCAATATCTTGATTGATAGTTGGTCGGATGCTTAAACCTAGAATGTGTTGAGAAGTCGTGTGTTTCCCACTAGCCAGACCTAGAGCGTGTTGAGAAGCTGTGTGTGTTTCCCAGTCGCCAACATGCTTAAAACACGCTTGCAGTGGTGGGGCAACTGTCGCCAAGGGAGGAGCTACTCCTTGATCGTACCTAAATTTGGTTTGCAGCACCCCACAACGCCATTCAAATTATTAATAAGGGCCTATAGTACAAAGACTCCCCATGTTCTGGTTGGGGGAGCTCTTCTTGATACAGGGGTCCTTCTTGCCGATTTCCCTCCCTTCCAAAAGAGGGGAGTCCCCAAAATCAACCAGTCGGGTTTGCAAGATGTCCCTTAATCGCCGATCTAGGGAGCATATAGTCGAACCCCCTCAAGGGGTGCTTTGTTTGCAAAAAGGGGTTAGTATCCAAGACAGACTCCATCCAGAGGGGTGCAAGCGCATTCCTTCTGCCTGTGTCTTGTTCAAGTCTGAACTCTTGTTGGACGGGGGGTTCCCAAATTGGTGAACCCTGCTGGTCGATGTTTGGTATTTGTTAGTCCTCAATTTTAGGATGCTAGATGTTTGCAGGGCCCATTTTACAGGTCATCTCCTGATATGTACCACCAAAGTTGCTTGGGTGCTTCTGAAGCGCAGCTGAAAATACCCCGCTCGAAGATAGGTTGGATCCTTGTGTGCTGAACAAGTCGATTATGATAAGTGCAAACCGATTCGATTTGGCGGAACACTCAAGTAGAGGCTAGGAATGCTGTTTGAACTGCAAAGGAGTAGCGATGAGTATAGTTTGCACAAATGACTATCCTTCACCTCAAAATAACTAACCACCCTAGGAAAATCATGGGGCATGAGCTCCTTCTATCTAGGCTGGTTGAAAATAAATCACAGATGGTTTTGAGGGTTGTTCCGTCGGAAAGATTTGATGAACAGGGTTGGGACAGTGATTGCAGCTTCTTCCTGCTGGGAACCAAGAATCACCCGGGCCCCAGATCCTCATTTGTGAATGATCAGTTGAGGCGACAAATATTTGGCATGACCATTCTTCAGAGAGGCAGTCTTTGGGCTTCCTCAAACAATGCTTGGGTTAGCAAGTGTCCCGGCACCTCTCCGCGTTCAGGACTTTTGGCAGGCCCCATAAAGAGTCATTCAGAGTTCTTGAAGGAAAGAAGCGACCCCCCTACTTTCTTCCTTTTCAACGAGCCCTGATATAAACAACCCAAGTTGTTGTGTTCACTCTACATGAATGCGTGGCACCAGAAAAGCTAGAGAGCCCTGGTATGAATGCCATGGGCTATGTCCGGCGAAATCCAAAGGAATCGATCCAAGGCAAAGTTCGTACCTTGGAAGCCTGCCAGATGCGGTGCATCTTTACCGCTGGCTGCACGGGCGTGGAGTTCAACTTCTGGGGCTGCGAGGTCTGGTTTGTTTTTTGCTGTGTGTTGGTTGTGTGTGCTGGCTGTGGTGTGTTGTGTTGCTTTCTGTGTTGTATTGTTTTGCCATGTGTGTTGTTTTGTTGTGCCATGTGTGTTGTTTTGTTGTGCCACGTGTGTTGCTTTGTGTGTTTTGCTTGCTTGTCTTTTGTTGGCTTGCTTTGGCTTGCTGTGGCTTGCTTGGCTTGCTTGGCTTGTTTGGCTGCTTGGCTTGCTTGTATGCTTGGCTTGTTTTGCTTGGTTGGCTTGATTGGATTGGATTGGATTGGATTGGGTTGGGATGGATTGCTCGCTTGCTCGCTTGCTTGCTTGCTTGCTCGCTTGCTCGCTTGCTCGTTTGCCTGTCCTCTTGCTTGTTTGTGTGTGTGTGTGTGTTTGTGTGATTTTGTTTTGTTTCTTGAGTGTGTGGCTTCGTTTGTTTGCTCGTCATCGTGATTGTTCGCTTGTCACGGAGTTGCCTGTGCGAAACTCGGTACCCCAGGACCTCTGAAACACCAAGCCTAAAATCACCCAGGGACCCTTCGGTTTTGGTGGACATCAGCATTTGATGGGATTCATGTAGACCAACCACTTTTCAGGTGCCCAAGTAAAATGGAGAGCCACCAGGGCGAAGGTGGTTGTTGCTTGTTTTGCGTGGCTCCTAGTTGTCGCGCTTGATGGCCAGTAGCAAACAGTTATGTTCCATGATTGCTCGGATCATTTCAATGTGTTGGTTGTTGGGGCTACGTGTCCTCCAATGTAGATATCCCATGCTGCGAACGCAGGTACGGGGGTGACGGCCGCCGATGCTTGAGAACTCCTTATAAGCAGGTGCCTGTTTTTAAGGGTGCCCTTTTTGGTGAGATTTTGACAGGAAATCAACATGGAACCCAAAACAGGGCATCCCACAAAATGAGATGTGATGTCATGAGTTTCATGTACTCGGAAACGTTGTTGTTGTTTTTGCCTTCTTGTTCCGGTTGTTGGGCAGCGTCCATGGGCGTCTGAACACATCTTGTTAACTAGGTACCCCCAGGGTGTTTTGGATTGGTTTGGGCTTTGAACCCCTTAAAGCGCAAATGATTTGGAGACTAGCCAACCTCCACCCATCCAGACCATCTTTCTCGAGAGAAACTGATACGAGTGTGTCTCTTGTTTGAGGGACCCCCCCAACATGGCGCCGGATTTTCTTTTGTGGTGTGGCCACACCACCCAGGGACCGCCAGAAAAAGAAGAAAAAAAAGAGAAAGAAAAAAAGAAATTGGAAAAAAGGGGGGGGGGGGGAAAAACCGAGCCGCCCCATCCATGCGGCTGCAGCCTCGGAGGTTTGGACCAGCGAGATCACGCACTCCGTGTACGCGCCGGGCTACCGCTGCGCTCGCTTCCAGCCCTTCAGGTCCGCGAGCGGCTTCGATGCTTGGCGCCCAAAAACGCTCGCTTGGCATGGGCGGGGCGCTCGGTTTTTTTTCAAAGGGGGTGGGTGTTTTTTTGAAGGGAGACCAGAAGGAACCCCGACCTCCATGTTACAAAAATCCGCCTGTGTGACACACATGCCGTATGCGGTTTTTGTTAAAACGTACCAGTAGTCTGTGGCTCAAGACCCTTCCAATTTGTATTGTTCACCAGCAACATGGGTTTGTCAGAATGAGGAACCTGCAGAATGGGGGGGGTCCTTTTGGTTTACCTTACAGCAACCTCAAAACAAATACATCAAACATTGAAAGATAAAACCATGTGAAGCTCGGTCACCCCAGTACTCAATGTAATTGGGGGATAACTGGGTGTGTGTTTTTGAGTGTGCCCATCAAAATGGCCGGTTAAAGGGAACCAAAAGCAAAACCCAGAAGTTTGGGTTTTCCATGGCCAGACGTTCGCCCTTCTGAGGGCGGTCAAGCCTGCCGCGGCGAGAGCATCGCTGACAACTTTGGGGCATACTTCAGCTTCTACGAAGCCATGCCCATGGGGCTCTACGATGGAGCCTTGGACAGCACATCTCTCTTGGTCCATTTTTGGTCAATCCCCAAAACGTTAACCTTTTATTTCTGGGTCCTTTGGGCAACTGAGAAACACCTCTCCGCAAAAAGCAAGTCCAGCTCCATGTCCAGTGCTTCAAACATCACCCTTGGCTTTCAAACATCACTCATGGGGTCTGTCTCAAAATAGAGATGGGGCCGCAAAATGAGTGTTGTCGTTTTGGTATTTAAAACAAAAAAACTAAAAAGACTTGAAGCAGGAAAAGAAGCTCCACCAAAATAAGGTGTTTTGTTTCAGGCAGTGGGCGGGGCAACCCGTGAAGAAGGGAACTTGGGCCTCTCTAGCTAGCTGGTGGGGTTTGCAGTGGGGCTGCCTTGTCATCGTGGTTTGTCGCTCAGGTTGGAAATCCCTAATACATTCAGGATGTTCCCTAAGGATTTCAAGAAACCGATGAACTATTCTAGGAAGCTCAACATCTCAAGCACACTCCCGAGTTTTGACCGCCTACTTTGGATTCATGCCAACCTCTTAACAAGGAAACCCTGGAATCCTGCGAACTTTCCTTTGGAAACTAGTGGGCATGTTTCTTGTCGAGTTGCCACTGTTCCAAGTGAAGTCGGCCATTGGATGTGGTTCTTGGACACTTTCTGGTGGATTCGAATAGCGGAAGGGCAGTACCTGATACCTTGACCTTTAGAACTTTGAGCCGAAAGGCAGTATGCAAAGGATCTGAGATGTTCAGCACTGCCCAAGACGAGGGATCTTAGCTCAGTTTGCAAAGGCCACATGTTTGCCAACTTGACAAGGTCCTTGGCAAGTATTGATTGCTGTTTGTGCATTGCTGCATATCCCCTGGTTTTTTGTCCGATCGGACTTGGAATAGGGAATCCCATTCCCTGTGTTGGTCTCGCAATGTTGGACCTGCTTCAATATGACCCTCCCCCCTGAATGCCAACGGTCATTTGGAGCCTCTTTACTGGAAAATTGGGGTGGGTGGATGGGTGGGTGGGTGGGTGGGTGGGTGGGTGGGTGGGTGGGTGGGTGGGTGTGGAGGGATTTTCAGGTTGAGTTGGGCTTGGACTTGCCAGTAGCCCATTCCAAGTTGCCAACTCGAAGTTCAGTGTTGCCAAAACGCAGTCACAGATTCCCAGGTCGAGGAATCATCCTGTAAATGTGAAGGCCAAGGCTTTGAACTATATAGAAATGTCAACCCCACAAATCATGTTGCTTGTAAAGAGGACCCCGAAACAGCTCGATTGAAGCGGGTCAGCGGCTGTTGTGGGGCATTTGCTGCGAGTGACTCGTTGGCCATGCTTGTCTGGGCCACAAAATCATGGTTTGGTGGCCGTGTTTAAACCGGAGTTCCTAGATCTAAGGTGAGTAGCTAAGCGGCGTAGATACGCCTCCAATCGAACGTACAGACTAAGTCTTTAGTTTTGGAATCTCCACCCAAAGAAAAGCTTGCCATGAAGGAGGACCTCAAGAACGGTCAGATTAAACAGGATCGGGCGCTCCTATGGGCAACCCCTCTTTGTTTGACTGTTTGTTTGGCCTTATTGATTGAAGACAAAGAACTATGATAGTTTGGGGGCCACTTCAAAAACTGGAATTCCTAGATTTCAGACCTTCAGTCTTGGAGCTGGGAAGGACTTAGTTGTTTGTCGTTGTTTGCCCGGATGAAAACAACTTTCTATGATAGAGACCCACACAACAGCCCCAGCGGTTGACAAAGCGGGTCCAAGAGTTATCGCGGCAGGCCAAAAACTGGAGTCTCCTGCATACTAAATGAATGGAAGCGACCTGGGGTGGTCGGCGTTCCCTTCCATTGTCGCAGTCGCACAGGAAGCAAAAACACAGCAACCCACCAACCATAAAGAAACCCAACTAAACTAAATTAAACTAAACTGAACCAACAAAGCAAAAAGCATAAGTATAGAAGCAGGCATGCCAGTAAACATACTAACAAGCCAACACACCAAGCAAACAAAACGAAGAAAGAGAGAGAATAAAGAAAAGACACAAAGAAAGCAAGAAAAGACACAAAGAAAACAAGAAAAGAAGGAAAGAAAGAAAGAAAGAAAGAAAGAAAGAAAGAAAGAAAGAAACACAGAAACACAGAAACACGGAAAACAAAAAGACAGGAAGCAAGCAAGCAAGCAAGCAAGCAAGCAAACAAAAAATACAATAACTAAACACGCACGCACGCACGCACGCCAACCAGCCAGCCAGCCCGAAAACAAACACGGAAGCAGGCAAGCAACTCAAAGCAGCAAAGCAGCAAACAAGCAATCAGATACTCAAACAAGCAGACAGGCAGACAGACGGACAGACAGCCAGAGGCAGAGACAGAGGCAGAAGCAGACAGAGACAGATAGATAGGTTAGGTTAGGTTAGGTTCGGTTAGGTTAGTCAGATAGATAGATAGATAGATAGAGAGATCGAGAGATAGAGAGAGGGACCCAGAGAACCAGATAGAGACAGATTGAGACAGTTTCCCACAACATTGGCGAGGTTGATCCAGCAAGCAGGCAAGCAAGCAGGCAAGAAAGCAGGCAAGCAGGCAAGCAAGCAGGCACGCAAGCAAGCAACCAGCCCGCCAGCCAAGCAACCACCCAACCAGCCAAGCAAGCAAGCAAGCAAGCAACCAATCAAGTCAGTCAGTCTGGCAGCCAGGCAAACAGTCAATCAGCCAGTCAGGCAGTCAGTCAATCAATCAAACAGCTAAGCAATCAATCAATCAATCAATCAATCAATCAATCAATCAATCAATCAATCAATCAATCAATCAATCAATCAATCAAACAAACAAGCAAACAAGCAAGCAAACATATGGAGGTTTCTCAAAAATGGCAGGGGAGTTTTACTGGCTGCCTTATTTTCGGTTTGCACCCCCAACCTACTCGAAGCTCCAAAGACTATGGCCCCGTTCCGAGCTCCGTTTGGCACGAGCCGCCCCCATCCCGAGTTTCTGGTGGCCCAACCCGAAGCCCAAGCGGCCGCCAGAATTATGTTGAGGCCAGACTTCCCAGTTGCCCAGTGGATTCCCCCCCCCTTTTTCATTTTTTTTGAGAAGGATTTCCCTTTAAAGCAGGGTTGTGGGATCAAGGGGTTTCTCCCCACTTCTGTGATACAAGGGAATCCCCCTTTATATGAACAAAATAGTCGTTGGGAAGCCCTTTCTGTTGTATCACGAAGTGGTCATTCCCCACAGCCCTGCTTTAAAGTCAAGCAGCCCAAAAGGGGATGCCCATTTTTCCCATGAAAATCCACTGGGCGCCTGAGAAGTGCGAGCAAGCGGCTTGGGGCGAGACCCCAGATACAAAGCGCTGATGGCACTGGGGGGGAGAGTTGCCAGGAACGATGGAGAGCTGCCAGAAGCTGCCGGAGGCTAAGCCGATCGCTCTTTTTGGGGGCGCCGTGCCGTTTGGATCGGCTTCCTTGCCAGCTGATACGCGATCAGTACTCGCGATCAGTCGATTTTTGGTCAATGGCATGACATTGGGGGAGGCGTGGAGTCAACAAACACCAACGTGAACTCAATGAATGTCGACCGTTGCTCAGGTGCATTGACATGTTGGTTGGCTTCAAGTTTGATAAAGGACCAAAAGCTTCTGTTATTTCTGACCTTTGCCAAAGTCAAGCCCATCAGTTACCATTTCCAAAAGAGGAAGCGTCGAAGGGGTTTACCGTCCATGGTTTTTGTTTGGCACCACGTTCTGTTTCGTGAAGTCCAAGCTATGGAGTAAGGGAGCCTTTTTGAAAGCGGTTGGACATCATCCCCAGCTTCCACCAAGTGGGGGTGTGGCTCAAAACTCGGTACACGCAATGGAACGGTGCATGGAAAGGACTCAACCCTGGCGGTTTTCCGATGGCCTAGAATTTTAACCCATCCTCATTTGGGGGGTCTTTCCTGCGGGTCCAATGAATCCTTTTTGGCCCAATGGGCAGCTTCAGTCTCAGCTCCATGGGTCGCGCGGGGTGGGGTGGAGGGTGGATCGCTCGATCGCTCTGAGGTGCGCCACCACTTCGGGCTGCAAGGGCATCGAGCGCACGCCCTCGCACTGCGAGGTGTGGACGAAGGCCATCGGCGTGACGGTGCCTTGGGCGAAATGGGCGGCTCTGGTGCGAAGGGCGGGGGGCGGGAGGGGGGGTTGGGGTGGTTGGGGGCCAGAAGATGACTTGGGGCTTCTGGGCTTGGGTTTGGTTGGCGGTTTTGGGGTTTGGGCTGCAAGGGGGGGCAGGGTGGTTGGTATGTTGGTGGCTTGGGGAGCTTGAGGATTCGGGAGGTTTCGGAGGTTTGCGGGGGCTTGCGGGGTTTGAGGGTTTGAATGGTCTGGGGTTAGAAGGGCTTTGGGTTTGAAAGCTTTGGTAGGTTGGTTTGGGGGCAGAGGATGGGTTGGGTTGTTCTCGGTTTTTGGGTCTGCTGGGTTTTGGGGGGGGGGGGGGGGGGGTTGTTAGTGAAGGGAGGTGTTCCGTTTTCTGCCTGCAATTGACTATGTCCAGATCAAAGTCTTGCAGCTCTCGGCGGCTCATCCGTCTATCCCTTTGCTTAGCTTGGTTTGGGTCTTAGTTGGTTTGTTGCTAGGGTGTCCGATTTTTTGGCCCACTCAATGGTATACTCAAATTTAGGGAGCGGACAGTCCGGGTAGATGATGCGATCCCCCAACATGCCAGGACCAGACTTCTTTCTTTTCATACCAAAGCAAGGCTTATGCTTTCGAGTGATGCACAATCTCCCGCACGCCGTAGTTGCCCGCAACGTCCACAGCTCTCAGAGTCATACCACTGTAGTCCTCCACACGACTTTCTGCGATGGGAAAGACATGCCTGGGCGAGTCTCTTTGCTGCGTTATTCCCTCTAAACCAATCGACCAAAACTTTGGTGCTTTTTGCTTGGATGTTAGGACTTTAACTTTTTGTCAACTAATAGGCTTTCCATTGAACCACTGAAAGTGAAACTTTTAGAAGGGGAGCAGAAAGCAACCGAGAAAAAAAAACATCTGCCTCCCCCGCCCCCCGACGTCATTTTTGCGGTTTGCAAGCGTTCCACAGGCCCCGTGGTGAAGATTCTTTTCATGGTGGAGTGCGTGGGGTCGTAGAAGCCAGCTGTGCTCTGCTTCGGGGTGCCCGCACTGCGAATCTTGAAAGCCACTGCCAATGCTCCATCTGAAAGACATGGGCGCAGTCTCCATGCCCCAAAAAACAACACAGCCAAGCGCAGAACTGTTCTAGGTTTGGGGGCGGTGCTTCTATTACTTTTCTTTTCTTGTGGGGTGGGAGGGGGGAGTGGGGGTTGGAATACAGAGCCGCCACGCCAAGAGGGGGCGCGTTTGTGTCTTTCAAGCATCGAAATCCGCTGCATGCCCGTGGGAAGCTGATGGTTTAAGCTGCTTTCAAAGGCGCCAAGTTGGAAGCATGTCTGAAGCGAAAAGTGGGCTGGGTGATCAACCAGCAGTATGACAGGTTTCGGGGCAGAGGCGGGGGGGGCATAGGCAAGTCCAAGTTGGACAGCAACAATCCGATCTCGCAATGCTCAGAATAAAGGGCCAGCCCGAACTCGTTTCTCGGGTGGTTTTGTGGCAGGTTGCTTTGGTGGGGGGTTGATGCTTGTGCAAAGCTGGAAGTGGGGATTTAGGAGTGTCCTAAGATGATGCAAGAACTTGAATATAATGCGATTGTTTTTTGCTGGGGTTGAAATCCATAGTAAACACAAACCCGTTCTTGGCTTGTTGTCGCCCCGGCTTTGCTGAATTTGCTCAGTGGAGTTTTAGGGGAGTTCCGCTAGTTGAGCAGAAGTCGCTGAAGAATTATTCCATTTGCTTAAGAACATGTTTTATTTTCCCCTGCTGGTTTTAAAGGGAATCTATGACTACTGGAAATATTTTCCCAGTGGAGTTAAGCAAATGGAAGACTTTCACTTGTTTTCCGGTTGTTTCTGAAAGACATGGTGTTGTTGTTGTTCCAATGACGCACCCCCAGGCAGTGCTGGGCAACAGTGGACACAAGTCCATGACACGCCATTTGCCGGGCCCAACTTTGAAAGGGAACATACTGGAACCGCAACCAGCAGCTTCCAAGCCGGACCTAACAAATGGTTCTGAACCTTGTCAAACTGCAGAAGTGTCCCTTTTGAGCAGAATCAATGAGGGCTGAAATTTTGAAGAGGCATCCAAAGGATACACGGGCTGGCCGAATCGGCCTCCAAAACAGGATACTCAGTTGTTCAAAGCCGACCTTTTGCCTTTTTGGTTTTCCAATGTTGGTTCATATTTAGTCAGACGGCCTCAAAAGCTTAACCTTTTACAGGGCTCCTTAAAAGATACAGTTTGCCCATTTGAAACATGGTTGTTTCTACCAAAATAAAGGGAAACCGCCATGTACAAGGCAATGTTCAGGTGTATAATTGAGGATCCCTGTTTTAGTTCCAGGTCCTGTGGGCAACTGAGGATGCCCAACTCGTCAAAACCCCTCCGAAGCTCTTTCAGGCCCCAGCCTGGTCCTTATCTTCCTGCCTCCGCCGCTAGGAAAGCACGTGGCGCCCGAGTGGCGGGATTTTGTCTTTGGGACATGGCTAGGTTTTTTTGTGAGTTGGACCTTTTTGAAAGGTGGTTGGTAGACATAAATCGCCTCCGTTAAAGGATATCTCTGACGTATCCCACTAGAAACTCCAACTTCTGACTTCCACACAGATGTTAGTTTAGAGTTAGACTTGGGAGGTATTTGGCGTATCTCATGCCAAAAATCCACTAAGTCAAATGAGCGGTTCTTGAAAATATGTACTGGGAACCACCTTTGGGCAAGACTCTGAAAAAAAACCAAAAGAACAAAAAAAAGAACTAATAGGAATACTCCACCTTGTCAAGCGTGGCCGCGGATAGCGCGAAGCCCTCGGCCCTGGGAAGCATGGAAATGGCCTGAGGGAAATGGGCTGAGCCATGCGGAGCTTGGGCTTGAGACCCCATGTTTCGAGTTGCTTGAGGCAAGGTGTCGGTTTTTCCCGAGGCATGGCCTGCAAGGGCTATGAATTTGTAGGGGCCCTTTGGAATTTAGGGGAGTTGTGTCCACCATTCCGCTTTTCAAGGGGTTCTCCCTTAAAGTTTTGTGTGTGTGTTGTCTTTTGGAGAGATGGTCACGGCTGATGCTTCTTTTTTTGTTGGTGCACAGTCAAATGGAAGCATGGCAACCCAAATCCGGGGACCCTACCAGACACCCCCAACCTAAAAGCGCTGATTTTGGCCCTATCCCTGGGATCTTACTCGGCATTGCCAACCCTTGCCCACCCCTTGGCCAACGAGGTTGGAACCCTACCACACAAGGACTTAAGCTTTTGAGTGTGGTTCCCCAGTAGTGCCCTTCTCTCCCCTTTTTTAAGGAGAAAGTTCCCCGACGAAACTCCGGAAAAAAGGTTGGTAGCCTTCGAAGCTCTCTGGAGCACCTGGCTCGAAATTTGGGGCCGAGGTTACGAGCCCTTCACCTATGTGGAGGGCGGCATTGACCGGGCCTGCCGCGGGGAGGATCCCTTGGACGACTGGCCCAGCGGGGGGCCCCAAGGAATGGCCCGCGAGGCCCCGCGAGTCGCGAGTCGCAAGCCATTGGGCGCCCTGGGTTTTCCTTTGGCGTGGTCAAAGCCAATAAATCGGCTACCATTTTGGGGCTTTCGGTGCACCACCCATTTTAGAACCTATTTTAGTGGGGATTGGGATGTTCACTGGGGGTACGGGATTTTGATCCATGTCCATTTGTTTGAAGAAGGGCCGATCTTTAAACCCAACCAACCAAAACAGGATGCCCTTTGTGATCCATGGCCACTGGGCATCTGATAAACACCCTGTTTGGAGCTCCAAATGCTCGATGACTTGGAATTTATTGTTTGGGGGTTTAGGCTTGTTTTTAGACCATTTCAGTGGCCAAGCCACTCGGTTCAGACGTTTGTGCAGCCGCATCGTTCATCAATGTGCGAGCGTAGCTTTTGGGTCTCAAAAATCCAAGCGTTCGAACCACGACGAAAAAATGATAACTATGACAAAAAGAACGGATGCACGTACACTGTAGAAGGAAATAGAAGGCTCTGTAGAAGGAAATAGAAGGCGCTGTAAAAGTCCTAAAAGGCTCTGCAGAAGGAAATAGAATGCACTGTAGAAGGAAATGAAAGGCGCTGGAAGTAGAAGGCGCTGTAGAAGGAAATGGAGACCGCTGTAGAAGGACATAGAAGGCTCTGTAGAAGGAAATAGATTTCTTTGTAGAAGGAAATAGAGGGGCGCTGTAGAAGGAAATTCTACAGCGCCTTCTATTTCCTTCCACAGCGCCTTCTATTCAGCGCCTTCTATGTCCATCTACAGCGCCTTCTATTTCCTTCTACAGCGCCTTCTATTTCCTTCTACACAGCCTTTTATTTCCTTTTACAGCGCTATTATGTCCTTCTACGTCCTTCGAAAAAAAAACCGTGTATTTCCTTCTACAGCGTTACTATTTCCTTGTGCGTTTTTTTTCCTTCTACAGCGCCTTCTATTTCAGTCTGCCTTCAGCGCCTTCTATTTCCTTCTACAGCGCCTTCTATTTCCTTCTATAGAGCCTTCTATTTCCTTTTACAGAGCCTTCTATTTCCTGCTACAGCGCCTCCTATTTCCTTCTAAACACCTTCTATTTGCGGTCTCACTTTCCTTCTACAGCGCCTTCTATGTCCTTCTACAGGCCCTTCTATATCTTTTTACAGCGCCTTCTATTTCCTTTTACAGCGCCTTCTATTTCCTTCTGCAGACCCTTTTATTTCTCTTACAGCGCCTTTTATTTCCTTCTACAAAGCCTTCTATTTCCTTCTACAGATCCTTCTATTTCCTTGCACAGAGCCTAGTATTTTCTTCTACAGCGCCTTCTATTTCCTTTTACAGAGCTTTCTATTTCCTTCTATAGCGTACGTGCTAAACATTTTAGTTTCCGTCGTGGTTATTATTTGTTTGGCGTGGTTAGCGTTTACGTTTATCGTCGTGGTTAGTGCGCCTCCTCGGTCTAAAAATCACTTGGGTGGCAGTTGAAGGGACGGTGGGGAGTCCCCACGAAAAGCTCGTCGGGGTGCGATCCGATGTCACATGCCTGTGCTTTCATGCTGGAACCATGCGTTGTTGTTTTCTTCCTTTTTTCCGAGTTGCCTTTTGGGTTGGCTTAGGAAGCCGAAGGAAAAACACCGCATTTGGGTTTGCATGTTTGGGGTGGTCAAGGCTTGCCCATTTTGAGAGTTCCATCAAAAACAAAACCATTCCAGTATGGCGTGCTTTAGACATCACCCGTTGGTTTCCTGTAGTGGTGGTTGCTTCGGTTGGCAAGCCTCGACACAAGCGTGGGCTTGCAAATGCGCTACAAAGGGGGAATAGGGCTCCAAGTTGGTCTTCACCCAAGTGCGGAAATTGAGGCAGGTGATTTGTGTCGAGCAAGCATTTTGTGGGTGTTGCCCTTGAGAACTTACCAGGAGCCCAGCCTTAAGCCCAGGCTTTTGTGGGGCAGGTTTCGCTTTGGATCAGCCCCAGGCCGGGGGATGGAACTGAATTCACGAAGGTTTTTCCAAGCTGCAAGATTCACGATCGGACAATGGTAGCGGTGAATGTGGCATGGTCAGAACTGGCCAACGCGGTTTAAAAATTCGGTTCTGGGTTGTTCTCACGCCTGAAAAGGTTGTCTTGTGGGAAGATTTCAGCTCACCGTTGGCATTTCAGGATCCTTGGTGATGGACGAACCGCGCAGGGTCCAGGTAAATGGTTTGGAACAGGCGGGAGTTTGGCAAATTCGCTGAAGATTTTCCGGTGCTGAGGTTACTACACCTGGACAACGGCGAGCTCCCTACAGGACGGTCACTCGGGTGATGGAAGCACCCAGTCGAAAATGGGTTTTCCAACAAAGGGGAATGGACAACTCGTTGGGCCGGGGATCTTTCAACTTTCAAGGAACGCCGACATAGGTTGCAAATATGGAAGGCGAAGATCCGTCCTGGGCTTCCTTGTTTCCGGTGTGTGAATTCTGAGAATTTGCTGAGATCTGTTGGATCAACTAGAGGCCTACCCCCCAAAAGTGCCCTGGAATGGGCGCTTGTTGCAACACGTGGAGGAGAAGGTGCGAATGACCCATGGCCCCAAGGGAAGCCATCATTGGTCAACCTCTCTCAAGCCTCACCTCTTGGCTTGGGTCCCGACGGGCTCTTCTCAAAGAGCAAAATCATAGGGTTCACAATTCCGAGCCATGGGCGTCCTTTGTAGGTTCATTTGACACCTATGAAAAAAGGAACCTAAAAGGGGCACATAGGTTCAATCCGAGATCTGCTCTCAATTCCTCGGAGGCGATTCCTCGAAGATCGGGTCTGGAAGCCATGCTTACGGACGTTAAGAGAGACTGCCAACTTCAAAATGCGTTGAAACAACCAGCGATGCTATGGTGAATACTGGGCATGAGAAATGCCGTGTCCTGTCCCCAAACTTTTGTAGTTGAAGCTTGAGGTTCACAATGTCCCTAGTGAATTCTGGCGAGCTGAGACTGGGAGTGCCGCTTGCGATCGATGCCGGTTTCAGTGAGTCACTGAGGTACCCGGGTCCTTTCAAAATCATCCCTGAAGAAAATCCCCAAATTGACAGGTGCTACAAATTGCCATCCAACAGTTTGGAGGATCTCCCACACGCAGCCAGCTTCATGGAAGAGGTATTTGGTTTGGCCCATCGCGCGAACTTTTTCAGTCAGAACGGTTGTTGTGATGATATGGGCGGCTTGTCTTTTTTTGAGGTGGTACGGGTGGTTTCAATGGAACACTCAAGGGACAACTGTGTTTGGTCTGCCTTTTTTTTGGGGGGGGAGGGGGTCCCTAACAAAAATGGCGCACCCAGCATGGTTCTCCGAGCATGAAGAAACATATTGGTCTTGTAGTACCCACAACCTGCTGAAAAACACAACTTACATTGTAGGCGTTTTGACTCGGTGATTCCACGCTTCCCATGAGCCTAGGGCTTGTGACCATTAAAATGGGTCGACCGCTTTAACAGCAGAGCTTGATGACTCAACTGGAGCGAGTACATCCGGCAGCGTGGTTTCAAACCATGGCGAGGGTTGTTTGTAAGCTCTGCATATCAGTACAAACCACATGGGTGCGATATATGGGTGTTTGTGTGTGCGTCCATTTTTTCGGGGACGCCCAAAATGGAGTTTGGTTGTCCTTTTGGCGTCCTTTTGTTTGAAGCAAAACCCCCACACAAGAAAAAAGGTGTCACCGAGCCTCAAAAGAGAAAAAACCCATACATTGGAGCTCCAGGAGTGCAAGCACCTCTGCATGGCCCATACGGGGTGTCTGGGCATTGAGTATCGCACCAACAACCGGTGCGAGCTTTGGACCAGAGCGCCTGGTCTGCCAGGTGAATCCTCCGGGCATCTAAGCTCGGGCTCAAAATCACGTCCTCTTTTGGGGAAATCGGTGAACCAGGTGGGGGGGTCCCGTCTTTTGAGGCTACAAGTTCTGTTTTTGATACAGGAAAATCAACCTGTTCGTCTGCTTTTGTGCGCATGGCCGGCGCGAAATGCATCCACGCACATGATCATGGGCCGCGTTGGTTTTTCATTCCTGGGCCCCTTAAAGGATAGCAGCTGCAACTTCGGAAATGGCTGTGGGTAAACCAATGGTACCATTTTGGGGTAGGCGCACCACCAATTTTAGTCGATTTTAGCGGGGATAGGGGGGATTGCGATGTGACCGCAGGGTACGATTTTTGACCGATGGCCGGCAACGCTGGGCGATCCTATAAAGCTGGTGCACTTCTTGGATTCCAACCGCAAAAACCCACCCGACGAGCTCCATGGTCGTTTCTTTGGGGGTGCCATGTTTTGGCAGGTCCAAGTCCCCCGTCCTTTGTTTGTTTGCACCCCCCTTCTTTCTTCGTGTCCCGTCTTCTATTTGTTTAAGAATATGTCCTTTTATTTCCCCCCGTTGGTTTTAAAGGAAACGATCACTACTGGACATATGTTATATATATATATATACATATATATATATATATATTCTCCCAAGGGGCGAAAAAGGCAAATGGACGCCGCGCTTTTTGCTCGTTGTTGTTTTTTTCCGGTTTTCGCTTAAGGCTCGGGGCATCGGCAGCACGGCGGCGGCCAGCGGCTCGGTGTGCATGCGCTACGGCAGCTGGGACCCCTCGGAGGTGCTCGACGGCTTTCTGCCCGCGGACGGGGGCCTGGACCGCGCCTGCCGCGGCCAGAACCGCAGCGACATGCACCGCGGCCGGAGTTTGGAAGCCGGGGGAAGGCGAAGCCATGCAGGATATTCCCAGGGCAGTGGGTTGTTTTCCGTTGGTCTTTTCCTTTTCTCTTTTCTTTTTGTGGGGGGGGGGGTTGCTGCCTTTTTGCCTTTTTTGTGTTGGAACCACACATTCTGGGGTACCCATAAATCAGGGATTCCCTCCCGAAAACAAACGAGGAAACGAAAGGCGTTCCTGCTTGGGATAATTCTCCTCCAGACTGTAGGGGTGAGCTAGAGGCTGATTGAAGAAACGAACAGATTATGAGGAATTGCTTTTGTGAGATCTTAACACCCACTTTGACTGGGTGTTACGGGGTGACGTGACCCTCTTTCCTTAAGATTTGGAAGTTAGCAGGATGTGCCCATGAAATCTCGCCTTAAGGTACCACATGATAGAAACTTGAATGACACGGAATCTATTATCCATTCCGATTTATCTCTGGACCTATCTCTTCTTTTCACGCTGATATCTGTCTTTGTAGACGTGTTGACTGGTTGATATTAAGAAGTTAGCCATGCTCACGTCATCCTGTTTTCTCTCATAACTTGGTGGCTCCCAGCCATTCCCTTAGCATTTTAGCCTTTTAGTGCTTAGTGGTAGTTTCCATTTCTCCCACTAAAAGCTAAGCTTTCCGCGGGGGATCTGAAATCGGGCAGCCCAGTTCCAGTGGCTGGATGGTGGCCCTTGACGTAGAAATGGTGGGTTTCTTTGGCCAGTGAACCTGGCAAGAGATGACAGGTTTAGAACTGTAAGAAACCAACGTAGGAATTAGGAGCATGTTGGATTGGTATGTTTTGCAATCATGATTATGTTATGCATTTCTTATTTCATTTGAGTTGTATCTGCTGTTCTCTCGTCTCTATGTGTTTGTCTCTAGGCTCTTTCAGGTTCCGTGCTTGTTTTTGGGAGGATGGATTAATGTGTTCCACCGATAGATGATTCGCATCCGTTTTAGGCAACTGGTTGGAGATCAACGGAAAAGAGTTCGACCTTCTTGGTTCCCTTTGGCTTTCTAGAATCGTCCTTTTGAGGAAACATACATGGATTCTCGCCTTACGTGCTCAGAAGGGATAGATCAGACACCAGCTTCCTAGGTTTGTTTGGCCAAATGAATGGATTCCACCAGCAAGCAGAACCTCCACAAATCGACCTTTTGGTTTGCCTTTGGGTTCCTCCTTATCTTCTGATTTCCGCACGGGGAACTACAAGTCTCCCTTTGATTTTTGTTTCTCACAACGGCAGCTTCAAGTTAAGACATAGGGCCTGTATCTGCAGCAAGCAGGGCCCTTCTATGTCCCTGTTTAGGTGGTTCAATGTGCAAGCATCACTTGCTTGTTGGTGTTTGTAGCAACCCAATGTGCTTTACAAATCATAAACAGCCAGTAGGGGTTTGTTTCTTGGGTGTTGTATAAGAAACCATCTGTTACACCTGTGTGTGGTTGTTGGGCCTGCAAATCCCGCTGCAACAAGCAGGGCCCTTCTCAGATTCTATGTCCCTATTTCAAAGTTCAAGCATTGAATACTTCTTGGGCCTGCAAATCGCCCTGAAACCATTTCTCGCATAGTTTCTCGTTGCTCGTTGAGGAACCAGAGCCACTATGCCTACTATGCCCTGGACATCGCCCCCACGCTGGACGCTTGCAAGGCCGTGTGCACCATCACACCGGGCTGCAACTGGGCTCGCTCGCGCGCCGAGCCAAAGAAAGGCACCGCGCTGCCTTTCTCCGGCCACACCTCGGAATTCGACGTTCTTGCTTGTTTTCTTCGTTGCTCAGCATTTTTGGAGGGGTGGCTGTCCCTTTGAAACCAAGCACCCAGACCTGTTTTCAAGGTGTGTTCTACCCTTCCCACAGACAGAAGGCATCTGTGGGAGGGGACCAGGAAGCTCAGTTTCCTCTTCGAGGACCTTTGTTTTGGAGTGGTGGAAAACATCTTGGATACTCAGAGCCTAGCGCATCCTACCCGGAAAAATTAGCTTAGAAAGAATTCTTAGGGTTCTAAGAACCTACCCCAGGAACTTGACATGCCTGCGACGCCAAATGGGTCTCCTCTTTTAGGGTTGCCTCAGCGCGATCCGGGTTTTAAGCTGAAACCCCGATAGTAGTTGGCACGGGGTCGTCAGTTTTTAAAGGTGTTTGGCAACCTGGTTGCCTGGTTGGTTGGTTGGTTGGTTGGTTGGTTGGTTGGTTGGTTGGTTGGTTGGTTGGTTGGTTGGTTGGTTGGTTGGTTGGTTGGTTGGTTGGTTGGTTGGTTGGTTGGTTGGTTGGTTGGTTCTTGGCACGGTGTTTTGCCAACACTCCAAGGTGTCCTTGGCAAGATGTTCTTTTAGGCAAGCTCCATCTTCACATCTTCGGAGTGCTGAATGAAACCCTACCCTGTGCAACTTGCGGTACTTTGCTCATGAGAATCAGTGGAAAACCGCCCATTGAGGTAGGGTTCACATTTCACTTAAAAGTTTATTGGGGACTTGTTGCCGACTTTGATCAAAGCATCAAAACCTCAATGGACTCTTCTGAAAACGGAGGCCCCGTTTTTAAGAGGCCACGTTCCCTCCTTGGATTAGATGCCCTCCACCAAACCCCCACAATTCAGAGAGTCTTAAAAAAGAACCATTTGTTTCCCCCCCCCCAGCAGCCAGGCAGAATTGTTCATGTACTGTGCTGGCTGACTTTGTTGCATCCGATTGTCACTGCGATATTGTTTAATGCACAGCTTTCCTGAAATCAAGATTGTGAGGGCTTCTAAAAGTGCAAATGTCTTATTAAAGTTTGTACGAAAAGTGTTGTTTGAGATTGTATGAGGGCCCCACACACACGTGCCACCCACTCACCCACCAAGACAGAGACTATCTCCCCCCAGATTATTTTGCCCCATTCCCCCTCCCCCCCAAAAAAAAGAAACACATGAACGCAGACAAAGAAAAACACATGCTGCCACAATTGTTTGGCAACACTGATGTAATCTATTCGCAGTGAACCAATTGCCAAGGATGCACTCAAATGAGCCAAGCTTTCCAGAAATCAAATGGAAGCTCCAGCAATACTAAATCAACTGCAAAATCAACTCCAAAATCAATACAAATGCTAAATCCAAGCAAATGCAAGTCAATTCAAGTCTCAAAAGAAAGATCCAGCAATACTAAATCAAATGGACAATCAAAACCCACACGTACCAAGCCAAATGGAAGTACTAAATCCAATCAATTACAACTCACACTTCCTCTCAGAAGGAAGCTCCAGCAATACGAAGTCCAACCAATTGCAACTCGAATTAAATCTTAGGAATCTCCGGCAATGCTATATCAAATTGAGAATCAACAACAAATGCTAAATCAACTGGAGCATCCAATCCAACAAGTACTAAGTCAAATCAAGTGAAGCTCAAATCAAATATTGAAATCAAGACTGCAAGACGAAGATGCTCCTTGTGGAATCCGCTTGAACTTCTGGAATCCTCATTCCCAATTCAAAGGTAACATTGCCCCATACCACAAGTAGTATTACCCAAATAACTAAGGTACTCTTCCTGAATTGGGCCATTTGGTGACCAAAGTCTGACCTCCTTCTATATGGTTGTTACTTCGAGGTTAAGATTGACTCGCTCCATGAGTTCCTGGATCAACATGGATTCCGTGAGGCTCAGGAACATTCCGTGCTTTTTAGGAAGACCGCTTCGTGGCAAGCAAAAAGTTCAGATGTTTCTTAGCGAATCCTCTCAGGATGTGAGATACGTTCTTGCTCTGAGCAAACTGTGGCTTTCTCGAAACTAGGGACCGATTACTCCAGGCTCCAGTTGGTTGATTTCCCATAGAAAAAACACAAGGACCGTAGCAAAGGGGCATTCCTATTTGGCTATGAATTTTACAGGTTGGAGCCTCAAGAGTGCTTGGTGGAGCTTCTTATCCCACCGGAGTCTGATGTCCACCACAGGGTCAATTGAATTTCACGCCCATTATTTTGGATGTCAAACAGGGGAACCAACGAAAAGGGTGGTGTTTCCAGTGATTTCCCAAGAGCACACACCTACAAACAAGGTACCCACAAAAGAGACGCTGGTGTCCCTTTGGTTGCCCAACCAAAAAGTTGTGGGTAGCTCCCAAAAAAAAGATGCAAAAAGAAAAGCGAGACCATAGTGGTTTCCATGGGTTCCCCAACCAAAAGTACAACACCCCCCCAAAAAAAAAAAGAACACGAAGACGCGACGAAGCGCTGTGGGTTTGCTGGATCCGAGGCAAGGGCGTGGAGTTCAGCCACTTCGGCTGCGAGGTTTGGACGCGGCCAGGAGAGTGGGTCGGAGCGCCTGGAGTCCGTGGTGCAAATCGAGACGAAGAAGAGCCAAGACTCCAAAAGACGTTGCATGCAACCAAGTCGGGAAGAACAACCAAAGAAAAAAAAGAACCTAAAAGAAGGAGGTTGCAAAATAGACCCCAAGTGTCATGGCCATTTGTTTTTGGATTGGGGGGATGGTCAAAGTAGAAGGGGGTGGGGGTGGGGGTAGGATGTTGTTGGGTTTTTGGGGGATGGGGGTTGTCAAAGTTAGGGGTCCTTTCTGGTGCGGCACTGAAACGTGCCACAACAAAAGGTTGCTCCTTCTTGTCTCATGGCCATAGGGCGTCTGAGGGTGCAGATACAGTGGGTGTGGCTCAAAATTAAACGATCGGAGGGGCAAACCGCAGGTTTTGGTTTCCATGTTTCCACTCAACAGGGTTCCATTTTGGAATACCGGTTTTTTGAGCCACAGCCATTTTTGTTGAAAGCCTCCCTGAGAAAATCCCGTTATTGCCCCAAGGATGGATGAACCCCCATGCAAAGATTAAAACCTCGTGTTTTGGTTTGACTTTATGGGCCTGAGGATCAACGGAAACCACCAGTAAATTGAAACTGTTGAAGCGGAAATCCAGTTGGTGCTAATTGTGCATGTGTTTCGTCCGGATCATGCTCTCGACCTTGCTGCAATAAGACCACGGCAGAAGGTAAGGAGGTGACCCATCGTTTCGTAGTTTCCCCTTGACGGAGTGTCAAGGTTCACCACCAAGCCCTAGACAACCCTGAAAGACCAAAGCCCAAACAGCCCTTTGCTGGAATGTCGACCACTTTTGAGGCGGTGACTAACCGAACTCATGGCCAAATGAGGAGTGAGTAAGGAAGTAATAAGGAGTTAAGCCCAAAGCCGAAAGGCGCCATTCTGCTTGGCGAGAAGTAGAAGTCAGCACTCATGGAGACGGAAGGCCCCGAGCCCTCAACCACAACCCTCAAAGGACGCAAAAACATCCAGGTACCAAGGGAAGGGGGGGTAGGCAAAGCACATTCTATTCATAAGCAAGCCTTCCCCAGTGCTTCTAGATAGAAAGTACCCCAAAAATCAAACCATTATGTACAACCTAGAGGTAAATATGCCTTCTATATTCTACTATGGTGGTAGCTGGAAGCACTGGAAATCTGCATCGGCTGGCAGGAGGCATCGGCGCAACCGCACAGGTGCCTGGCTTCGAGTGCTACCGCTGCCCGAAGAGAGATGGAAGCGACCCAGTGGGTGTTCCTTTGGTTTTTTCCTGTTGATGTCCCCACGGTTTTCTCCCGAAAAAAGCGGAGATCCCCTTTCAAGTGATAAAATGGTCATGGGATGAGAATCCCACTTTGGCATCAGAGGGTTGACTGTGCAATTCCCCAAAGGATACACAGTAACAAACATGTGTCCCTTAAGGGCAAGTGACCATGATTGTTAGATTTTATTAAGCCATCTGGATCATACCGGTTTTGTTTGCGAATTATTGTTTAGATATTAGGCTTTCAGATTCTTGGGAAATTAAGGGTTTGCACTGTTACCTTGTTAATCTGGGAGCTCATGTCCAAGGTTGACTTTTCGTGTTCAGGTTCTTCGGTTGCAAGATACTTGACCACCAGGCCCCTTATCCAGCGGTCCACCTCTATTTTCCCATGATGGATGGATTCAGCATCAGGGAATTTAGGTCTCCACTTAAAGCCCAGTAAACAAACTAACAAGCCCTGCGCTCAGAATATTTGACCAACTCCAGAGTGACTTCAGTTAGGGTTGACAATCTGTTGGGGTTGATATGGACGAAAGCAGGTGGTGAGAAGTTGCTTTAGTTTTGAGGGGTTGAACTGTGGGCAAGTTTGAGGTCTGTTCTAACCCCTCCCAATTCAGACTCATAGCGCATGTTTTGTTCTTCAACAGGGGGGTTCAGCCATGGTAATATGGACCCTTCTGCACCCTTTGATGTCTGCATCGCAGTTCTTAAAAATAAAGAGCAAGAGCATGTGTATGAGTCAAATGCAAAAATATGTTTGCTTCAGTTCCTCCACACTGCAGGCCACCAGCGTTGAGTCATGGTGATTTCTTTCACGGGATTCCCGAAGTTCCTTGCCTTCAGAGGACGCACCACCGTGTTTTCCCCCTATGTTTGTGTCTCCTTACGGTTCCCCTTGGCCCACCAACCCCTCCGCGGCTTCCCAAAAAAAAAAGGGAAAAGCCGCCCGAGGCTACGTGGCCTTCGAGGCGGTGGACGGCGGGGTGGACCGGGCCTGCCGCGGCGCGGACGCCGACGACCAGGCGGCGCAGCACTTCATGGCGCTCCCCGAGGCTCGGCCCGGAGAAACGCGAGTGGCGCGAGGGGCGCCGCCTCGGCGGCCGGGTTGGGGTTTTTGGGTTTTTTGGGTTTTTGTTTGTTTTTGGTGTCCGCCGGGTTTTGGTTTCGATCTGGTTGCCATGGGAAGTGTCCCTTTGAGACGAACCGCCAAAAGTGGCAGTCTTCAGTACATTGATCCCCTGGCTGGGTACCCCTCAATTGGTGGTTTGGATTTGGCGGGGTTGAATAAATGGGGCAATGCTCGATCAACAACCTTGGGTCAGTCAACAGACGAAACAAGTGGCGGCTCCAATGCCTGGCCCCTGGCGAAAGCGGATCCGACTGGCATAGGCACAACCCCCTTCTTGGGATAGGGGCAAACCAACTTCAAACCACGAATCGGGTCCCTTGAGAGACACCCATTGACTCGGCCAACAGGGGCTGAGGGACGGGATTTTTTTGGCCGAGGTCCTGCGGTTTTTTTTCCGGCCAGAAACCCTGAGCCATTGGGTCCGAACCGTTTGAGCGCGCTCGGGTAAAGCCATCAGCCCCAAGAAATGTCTTTCGGTTTGGCTTCCCTTGGGAACCCTTTCGGGTTGGGAAGTCTTTGGGCTGGGCGGTTCTTTCGGGTGCTGTTTGGATTCGGTGCGGGTTCGGCGGTTTCGGCGGTTTCGGCGGTTTCCGCTTTGGTTTGCGGCGAAATGGCCGGCGAAAGCTCCTCTTCGGGTCTCCAGCGCATCCACTTCAGCGCATCCATTGCTCAGGTCAGGCCAACAAAAAGCGGCTTAGATGACCCAAGAGGGCATGATCTTTCGGCCAAGACTTTGTTTTGGTTTCAGGACTCCATGTTTCTGGGATTCCTGTCCCTGATCCATCCGAAGCGCGTACCCAGCCCTCGCAAGGTGGGACCGCATGCAAATGGAACTGGGGACGCCCCTCCCCTTATATAATCGCTTTTTTCGGAGAAGCGTTGTGTTCCCTGGATAACTTATACATCACCCTTTGCCATTTCAAGTGAGTTTCCATGGGGCGGGGTGATGTTTAAAGAGGACATATTGACGATGTTGCCTACCCACCCACGCACCCGCCCACCGACCCACACACACACACAAACCCATGAGCGACCTTTCCGGCACCCTGCCTTGTTCTTAGTTTGCATCTTGAACTAAACCAAGGCACCCTCACAGAACCCGTCTCGACCACACATTGGCGGTTTCTTTCGTGAACTTTTTGGGCTTCAACGCAAAACGTTCAAAGGAAAAAAGCCGCAGCCCAATTTCAAGGGGGGTGAATCCGAGTCCGCCTCATCGCGCGAGCCATGCTCGTGGCTTCGAAGGAATCCAGGTGGCCATGGGTCAAAATCCAAAACGGGTAGCTGCCAGTGAACAGCCCAACTGGTTCTAAAATGGGTGGTGAATTCACCAATCCCAACCAAAATGGGATCCCGAAACGGTTTTTTGACAACCACAGCCAAATGGGATCCCCACTCAAATAGACTCAAATGGGTCCTTTTTGCACCTACCTCCAAATGGTACCATTGGGTTTTCAGCTTTGACCACAGAGCCAGGTGAACTCGTTAGACGCCTGCCAGCAGCGCTGCCTGGTGCGCCCCGGGTGCAAAGGCGTCGCCTTCTCGGACGCCGGCGGCTGCCAGCTGTGGACCCGGGCCTTTGGCATCGGCGCCACTGCGCCGGAGGCGGGGCTTCGCGCGAGGGGGTTTCGCAGGGGCGACGGGCGGGCGCGTTTTCGGGCGGAAGGACTGCGTGCTGGGGTCCAGTGCCCTGCAAGCTCCAGAAAAACCCTTGGCGTGTTGGGATGTTTTCTTGTTCCAAGGAGAGCGAGCCTGAGAATAATAGTTATAGGGGTCATTCGATGTTCGACGCAGATCGATTTGTTGGCAAAAGGACTTGCTGAAGCTGGTGGATTGGTTGATTTGGTTTGGGTTTGGTTTGGTGATTTGTTGAGCCTTGCGGTTGTTGGAGAATGGGGTGCCGTTTTTGCGAATTCTGGGTCAGTTACTATCCCCCCGCTTTGTTTTCCCCCCCCCCCTGTCATAAAGTCGGGCGAGGGAAGCCCAAGAACAAGGAAACTACGCAGATTAAATACAGAATGTGTGTTTGCCAGCACCCTCCAAAGACTGCTTCCAAGCCCATCTTCCAAAACCCTCAGCATTCTGCCAAGGAGCGCTTGTATTGAGCATGACCCGCACAAGGATGGTTGATTGTGGGACGAGGATGTCCGACAATAATTCCAGCACAGCCTTCGTTGCTTGGTCTTTGATTCAACCTTTTGACTGTGAGACAGGTGTTTCTTCTTTTGTACTATCAAACAGTGGTAGGGGTAAAGTAATTAGTGCTTGATGGCGGAGGTGGGGTCCTTCTGCTACCGGCACGAGCCCTTTACAGCGGCGGACGGTGGCAAGGACCGGCGAATGTGGTCTAGGTTCGGAGCCCCCGTGCTTCAGACGTGCACAGTTTGGGCCCGGGCCATTGTGTGCTTTCTTTCGCGGCTTGCATGATGGTCTGACAAATATGATCAGGTTGATGGTTTCGTGGCTTGAATTGTATTGGGACATGAAATTTCGGACATGGTGTGTATGGCTTGGCAGGCTTCGTTTTTTTTTTTTTTTTTGATTTTTTTTCTGGTTTCGTTTTTCCGGTTTGGCGGTTGGTGCCAAGGCTTCATTTCTCTCTTCGTGGCAAATGCATGGCTCGAATCGACGCATTCAGGACCGGGCCTGCCGCGGCGCCAAGGCCTCTCGACCTAACCTGGGCAATGGAGCCATTTTGCCAAAAGATTGCCACGGCCCTTCGGTAGGTTTCTCTTGCCACCGGTTTTTATTGGGGCTCTCTGGTAGGAAAAAAATAAGGAAGCCGAAGCCCAAGCTTGAGTGCGTCGGTTTTTTTTGTTTTTGTTTGCCTTTAACACCTACCGAAAGGGTAATTTACCCTCAACAAATGTCGAGCCACCCGTGCGGGCGTCCGATTCAGAGGCAAACTTCCGAGTTTCTAGGTCTGGGACAACTCCACGGAGCACTACCGCGACGTGCGGCTCCCTGCGGCCACCTTGGCCAAGTGCAAAGCGCTTTGCGTCGGCTCCCCCGGCTGCAAAGGCGCGCCTTTCCATCGCGGCTGGTGGCTGGCTGGCTGGTGTGTTGAGTGGGCTGGGATGGCTATTTGAAGACGAGATTTCAAAAGAATCCTTCAAAAGAAAGTGTAGCAAAAAAATAATAAAGGGCTACAAGTCCGCTAGGTTGGGATATGTTAAGGGGACAAGATGGAAGCTAAGGCGAAATCAAAAAGTCCCACCACCTGGTGGGGCGGTTGTATCGTTTGGTTTTTCGTTCGGGGGACCCCTTGTTGCTTGGTTTTGAAGGGGTGCCAAAAGGCGCAAAAGGAAACCAAGCTTCAACACCATTCCAAATCCCAAAAGGGGTTCGCAATTCTTGTGTTTCTGTTTGTTCGTGTGTTTGTGTGCTTGTTTGGACACTAAAAGGGGGTGGTCAAAACCAGCCCTGTTTGGTAGTTTCTTTTTTCAAAGGCGGCACACGGCACATTGATCCACGGGGATTTTTCCTCAAACCACACCTTTTTGGCCCCTACGGCGGCCTTCCCCGAGCCGCGGTTTCCCACGAGTGCGACAAGGGGGATTTCTCCGTGGCGATACGACTTTTTTCCTTTACGAAAGAAGCACCTGAGTGGCTGAGAGGAGTCTTTCACCGGCTACCCTGGGTGTTTCTCCCAAATAGAAGGCTCTCCAGACCAGAAACGAGCCCAGCAAGGGCGCCAGCGAAACACACCCAGAAACAGTGTGTTGCGTTGATGATTTTCTTTCTTGGTGCCGAGTGACCTGAGCCATCCAGTTTGAGTCGCACCCCCACAGCAGCGTGCCCAAAACCTCAAAAGGGCCATTGTAGGTAGTTAGGCAATGCTTCAGGGGGGGTATAGTCAGGCTTATACAAACCTTGATAGCCATGGCTTTCGAACCAAAAATCAACGCATGCTCAAGTACAATTGGATGTTTCCGAAGTTGTTCCACGTGCGCCAAATCTTGTGATGTGTCAAACTAGAGGTCATGTCGGTTAAACCTCTGTAAAAAGAGTTCTGGTGGTAGAGCCGAAAGTATAGTCAGGTTTTGGGCGCTGCTCATGTGGGTTGTTTCAAGCTTGGATAGAACCACTTCAAGCGGGTTGTAGTGGTGTCCCTTTGGTTTACCTTGAAACTTCAGAACCCCCAAAAGGGAGTTTTTCCCTTTGGTTTACCTTGCAAACAACCCACCAAGTCGCGTTTTGTTTTTTTTTGGTTTAGCTTGAAACTTCCCCAAACACGGGTTGGCCGCCAAAAGGTTGGTGTACCCTGAAACTTCAAGCCCAACAACCGCCATGACAGACTGCGACGGCTGACAGACTCCGACGCCATGTAGGAAGCACTGACAGACTCCGAGTGTCGAGTGCGTAGGCATCGAGTTCCAAGCCACGGGGATCTGCTCCATCTGGACGCGGCCCGGGGGCATCGATGCCACGGCCGAGAAGGGGGGCTCCATCTGCCTGCGCTTTGGGGCCACGCAGGCGGAGGGCTCAAAGGGATCCGCGTCGAGGGCGGAACGAAAAAGTCGCCGCTTGAACGGGCGCAATCTTTTTTGGGGAGGTGGTACCCCGTGCTTTTGTTGGTGGTGTTCAATGGAAGCCAAAGGGAAAACAACTCATTTTTAGGGAAAGGGGAACTTGAATGGGTCCTACACCCTTGGGTGGACATCAGAATTCGGTGGGGATTGATGTCCACTCCTCACGAAGGCTCATAGCCAAATGGCATTTGTTTCAAGGAGCCTCCTCAACAGTGATTGGTGGACATGAATTCCCACCGAAATATGATGTCCATAACAGCCCGGGACCCATTAAGATTCATACCCAAATCAAAGGGCCACCACTCACGTGTCCGTCATGGAGGTTGTCCCTTTGTGTCTTAGAAAGAGGTCAAGATGTTGTTGTCTCCTTTGACATGATGTTATATCTCAAGTTTAGTGGCAATCAAGCAGTTTCGAGTTTTAGACCTGTTCACTCGGGAAGTGGGGATCTTCTTTCTAGCAAACCTCAGAAAACCCAGGGAAACGGCTGGTTTTCTAAAAGAACGATGGTTGGAAAGAATGGTCGGAGTCAACCCTTAGAACTACGGTGAACTCCAGCGACAAAAATGCGAATACACTAACCACTGCCAAGAACCTGTCTGGCACATTGGCGATGCGGGGCTTGCAAGGTGAGTTCCCATGCGATTCCTCGGGCTAAAGCATCTGTCATCAAATGGGCATGGGGAAATCATTGGTGGCAATATGGGAGATTTGGAAGCTGTTTCGCCACTTAACATGGTTTTCCACAATGTATACAAGGGGGGTTCCCCAAAGGGAGACTCTGACAGTTGGTTGTTTTCATGTTTATCATTCCTGAGAAATGACAAAAAAAAACTGCTACCTCCATGGATACGTTCTGTTTGTTTCTAGGTCCCCCAGTGCGCTTTCACCCTTGTGGGGGAGCAAAAATAAACACAAAAAGTTGGCGCCCTGAGTCAGAACCTCTACTGGAGGACCTGGTTTGGGTTCCCAAACATGGTCAGGCCGGCGCGGCGGAGGAGGGCGATCGGATCGGGCGCCTGGGGCTTGAAACGAGCGGCCTGGGCATGGCCAGTCACAGGCGAGGTCCCCCAGCAATCGGTGCCCTTCTCTCCCAACTCTTTTGGGGGAGGGTTCCCTTTCTCACTCCCCTTTTTTGGCTTTGGGCTCCCCTAAAATAGTTAGACCCGGCCTCTCCCGTCCGTCAGATGGCATTTTTTCCCACACCCCCCCCTACACTTTTGAGCACTTTTTAAATACACCTATCAAATTACACCATTCAAAACCACCAAATTGAACAACCCTCTAAGTTAATCATTAGAAAAATAATGTTCTAATGATCAACTTCATTTTTTAGTCCAATTCACCACCATCAGCCTGATCAACTTTCTTTCTTCTCAAAGCTGGATTATACAAAGGCATTGTCATTTTGAGTTCTTGTATCCTCTCTTGACCTTCTTGATAATATTTGTCCTTGAATTCTTGTGTAGGTGCTTCTTCAACTAATCGTTCATAATCTGCTTTCAAGTGTTTGAGTATATTATCTTGGTGACAACCTCCAACCAAATGGAAGTCCCAAATTTCTGGGTTCACTCTTCTTTCACAAACATGGCAATACAAATATCCATTATTCGCTGTTTTCTCTCTACGCTTCTGATTAATTTCCTCGCGATTTGCTTCAAGATACTGTTTCCGGTATTCTTTCCTCTTGTCTACAGTTCGTTTGTTGTAGTCTCGTTTTTGATCAGTGCATTTATCGCAATTTTTGAGTCCATACACGAAACTATCTTCACCTTTCTCGTATCTACATCTTGAACACAGTTTTTTCTCCATACTATAGTAGGACACCTTGCCTTTAGATGGCTACAACCCTATTTTCAATGAAATATCACTCCCCGAAAAATGGTTAACCAATGGAAAAGGGAGAATTAAAACCGTTAACCCAAATCTTGAAAATCCCAGTAAAATATGGATGGCAAAATGCGGATCGGGAAAGGCCTAGGTAGGAAAGCACCCCCACGGCTTATATGGGAAAATTAAACTATAATTATAACATATAAACATTTATATGTTATTATTATATTATGATTACAATTTCAGTACAGGATAATAATTTAATTGACAAATATTACTTCTTTCATACATCATTTTAAAAATAATATTAATATCTCTCACTGTATTTTTAACATTAAACTTTTTATAAATTTCAATATAAAATTTAATATATTCTTTAATATCTTGTCCTTTCTTTTGACTATGACACAACATCAATAATATATCAGCAATCATTACATATTTTTCTTACTGATTTTAAGAAACTGTTTAACATATTCATAAGGTGGTATTTTATTTACAGTTAAAAATATCAAAATGTCATCTTCTACATTTCTATTATGTCTTATTTTTTTTCTCAACACACAATTGATTATAGCTTGGTTATCTCTCCAGGTTTTACAATTTTCGCATATATCTTCTTCATCCATTGAATAATTAATAATAATATTCACTATTTCAATAGGCAAATTTAATTTATACAATTCCATATTTTCTTTTTTGAAGTGACAACAATCATAGCATTTTTTATTGATATAATTATTGATTTTATCATCGTTCATTTTCCTCTTATTATATTAAGGTAATATTTCTTTAAATACATTTTCAGGGAAACTTTTAAATCAAGCGAATTATAATTACAACATATAAGATCTTACATGTTGTAAGTATAGCAAAACTATGGTATCAAAGGCTTTAATCTATGTATTTCCAGGGGTTGTATTCGTTTCTTCTGTTCCTTCCTTAACTCTTTTGTTGCTTTTACTTTGTCTCTGCATTCCTTACATGTTTTGTAAAATATTTCTTCCATGTTAATTCTATCATACATTTTGTGAAAGTCCTTTCTTGGCTTTGCTTCGTCGCATTTACTGCAAGGATAAACCATTGTGCATCCTGTTTCTTCTTCATCATCTGTAGAACTCATAATATTAGTTATGCCAATATGTCTTTAAACGGATTTTCAGAGAAAAATGTTTTCAATCAAGAATAAACCCCTGTATCTTCATCATAGTCAATTTGATAAAATGTCATAGTTGAAGCCTTCGGTTCTTTAATTTCTTTGTTATTAAGTTTGTTTAAATAAATATTTCTTTTATTTTTATATTCACCATTGGTTCGATCTACTTCTTTACTTTGATAACTGTTTGTTAGCGGTTTCTTCTTTTCCATTTCTTGCAAGATTTCTAAAATATTCTTATTCTGTTCTAAAACCTTGTTCAGTTTTTTAACCATCTTTTCTAATCCTTCATCCATGTAAATATATATATATTATATTATAAAATAAAACTTTTAAAACTAAATGTTTAAATTATGTTAAATCTACTTTTTAATTACTAATTTTTCATCATTTGTTTAATAGTTTCCTGAGTTTCCTTATCACCATTATCGGATGGAGTAACTCCCCTCCCAAAGCGTATAGCAATATTATGAACATCTGTTTCTAAGTTGATACTGTCTTTAGTTTTATCAATATTCATTTTCTTATCATTTCTACTTATTTTGAAACTGGCTGGAATACACGAACATTTACAGTTTCCTTTCTTTTGTATTTCTAATTCATTTTTCATTTCTAATATTCTTTTACACATTGGACAAGCAAACTCAATAACTGATGTCTCTTTAACAACTTCTTCTTTTTCTTCATCAGTTGAAGAAACAACTGGTTCAGTCTTATTCTTTTTCTTTCTTCCCATTTATATTAATATTTACATTTTTATTTTTGATATATTGTATCACAAACTTAATTATTTCTAAAACAAAATAGCATGTTTTCTTGCATCTATTATCAGTTATAACAACTTGTTCTAAATTCTCTACTTCATCTATTATATCAATATAATCTGAATAGCTTCTATTCATATAAAATAATAAATATAAAATATTTTCTAAATAACTTTAATATTATTTTATTATGTTAGATGTTCCAATAATAAAGCCAATAAACATAACTGAATATGAATTCAAACAATCTAAATATGAGCACGTGCCAAAATTACCATTTAGAAGTATTATAGTTGCTTCTTCGACAGGTGGGAAAACAGTCTTGGTTCAGAACCTTATCTTAAATGTTTATAGAAATTCATTTGCAAGAATATTTATATTTTCCCCCAGCGTTCATAATGACCCAACCTTTACAGAAGTTAAAAAATATATCAGGGATGAATTGCACGTAGATGATGAAAAAGAACAAATATATTTTGATAATTATAATCCAAGTGATTTAGAAAATGTAATTGAAAGACAGAAGAAAATAATTAATTATATGAAATCTAAAAAGATAAAGAAACTGCATTCAATATTAATCGTTATAGATGACCACGCAGACGATCCTAAATTTGTTAGATATAGTAAATTATTACATGGATTATTTACAAGAGGTAGGCACGATGCAGTAAGTGTAATTTGTTCAACACAAAAATATAATGTTTTAGCGCCTATCATTCGTTTAAATGCCAGTTCATTATATATTTTTAGGTTGAAAAATGCAAGTGAGTTAATGAGTTTTATTGAAGAAAATAGCGCCATTGTTGATAAACAGCAATTATTAGATATGTATCATCAAGCCGTTAATGACGCACCTTATAGTTTCTTCTACGTGAATATGAATGCTAAGAATGTGAATGACATGTTTTTTCTCCGTTTTGAACAGGCATTTCAAATTACAAATGATGAATAAAGATATTCTAATTTAATATAATATAATAATATGCTAATGAAACTATGTAGATGTGGTGGATTTTATCGTAGAGGTAATTACAATTTTCATACTAATTCTTGGATACATAAACTTTATAAAGTGTTAAAAAGACGACCAACAGACGAGGAATTATTAAGATTTCAAAATAACTTTGTTGATGAAGAAGATTTAATAGATGATATGTGTAGCAATGCCTCAACAAAATTACCAGAAGATGAAATGACAGATTATGATAGTAATTAATAATATTAATGTATGTTAATATTATCAATTTAGAATAAAGAATAGCTACATAAATTTAAGGCAGGAAATTTATAATATGTTTTATCTTTTTTACAGTCATTAACTTTTTCTAATTTATTTATTATTGCTTTCAATGAATTTATTTGTAGAATATCAATTCTTGACATTTCACTTATCGTATTTACATCTATATCTTTTATTACTTTAATAGCCTCTTCATCATCAATTTCTACTGGTTTTGATTTACTTGAACCCATTATATATAATATTATTTAGATTTTAATTTTTCAAAATTATATTTTTGTTTTTCTTCTCCGTCTTCTTCTTCTTCGTCTTCAGTTGGTGCTGGTATTTCTGTTGGACTTTCAGATGAAGAACTATGAACAGTAATAGGTGGCGAACTATGAACACTAATAGCTTCATTTGATGAACTGCTACTGCTACCTTGTGCATTTCCTGCTGTTATTTGATTAACTAAATCTGCGATATTTATTGTTGTTGCAATTGCGCTATGTGATAAGTTTAATATTATATCTGCTACTGTAGCGCCGTTGTGTAGCATTACTTCTATCATTTTTGTCAGTTTGAATCTTTTTTCTTCTTCATCGCTGTCCTCCTCGTCTGGTGGTTTCTTTGGCGGTGGTTCTGGCGGTTTGTTGTTGTCAAGCATTGTAGTAAAGGCTGACACCATTGTGTCGCGTTGGTTTTTCAGTGTTTGTGTTGCTTGCGCTCTTGTTGGCTCATGTCTTTTGTATGTGTTGTGCCAAAAGTTTTTAAGCATTATTTTAAACATATTGTCTTGGTTTTCCTTTACCTTAAACGCTTCAAATGTCATATTTAATTGCTGATTTGCATCATTGTATAACTTTTCTTGAGTCTCTCTGGTTTCTGTGGCGATTGTATCTGTATTGGTTGCAATGTCAATAAATTCTCTCGGTATGCCTTTTTTCATCATTTTCGGTGGTTGTGTTGTTATTGGTGTGTTTGGTTTTGCTAGGTTATGTATTGAAAAACTGTCGTCGCGATCATAATTATCATTGAAC